GCCCAGAGAGCTATTGATGCCCAAGAAGTACCACATTACAACCGTTCTCGTCGATTGGTCAAACACGTGGACGTAATTCAAATAGTCTTTGGTGAGGTTCGCTAATTGATCAGTCCTGGGAATCGGTATCATGTACCCCTGGTCGATCCAGTCGAACCAACTTCCATACCCCAAATTGCTCTTGGCCGGGCCTCTTGGCTGCCAGAACATCTCCATGATGATATCCTTGATGGCACAGTCGCGTTTTTGCGACAACTCCACCAATTTTCGTAGATTAAAGTCCACGACTGCATTGCACGACGAGCTGAAGATGTTCTCCATGCTCTGGCCGATGGAACGGATGTCTATGTTCAAGTATTCAGAGAAACGTCGTATGAAAGGAACGAGGATCTCGTTTCGCTGCTCTGTGATTGGTCACGCTTCCGCATTTATCGATCGATCGAATAATTGGGAAAATTCGTGCCTATCGCGAGATATTTTGTGGAAATTGTCATTCGTCGCTGACTTAATCGTCACATTGCCATTCTCAATGTGCAGGTGAACTAGGAATAAAGATAGCTGTCCCATGAAGATTAGTCGTAAGATTTCTTTGTTGGATAGCATGTGAATGTTTTGCGACTTTTCTTTAGAAATAGGTGCATCATTGGAATAAATATGTGTGAAGTATTCGTCGTCGGAGGAACTGGTCGAGGGCTCAGATGTAGATCTCATTGTTCTAGAATAATTATGAGATTGCTTTAAAATATAGTTGAGGTGGTGTCCTATGTGTAATAAATTTTTAGGTGGAATACCCGTTACCGAGGAATAGACTATAGCGTGACTTAATAAAAGAAAGTTTTACATTCTTAAATACGTGTTTCCTTAGTTTCTAAAATAATTAAAGAACTTTGCCAATGACAATTTCTTAAATAGAGTTTGCTAGATACTTACTGTTAGATCAAATTCGAAACTCGATTTAATTTTTCCAGAGGGTGCTCAAATTTTCTGGTGCCCGATGTACATCATCTGCAATAACAACTGTCATCAGTTCTAGAAAAATTCTGTCTTATATCTATTATATATAATGAAAATTTCGAAATTTTCTAGATTCCTCTTTGTTAGTAGGTTTTGAGGGATCTTTGGTGACTTATTCGGTTAAAACGTATTTCACCTAATTTTCCTGTTAATTTATTTCTCCCTTTTCTTCGTCTCTTTTCCTTCTCCCCTTTTGATATTCTTCGTTTGTTTTTATACGAGAGTTACTAGTCAGTTAAAAATTGAAAAAATTTTTGACACCGATTTTTCCTGTTAATTTATTTCTCCTTTTTCTTTTTCTCTTCTGACGTGCTTCGTTAGTTTCTAGATTCCTCTTTGTTAGTAGGTTTTGAGGGATCTTTGGTGACTTATTCGGTTAAAACGTATTTCACCTAATTTTCCTGTTAATTTATTTCTCCCTTTTCTTCGTCTCTTTTCCTTCTCCCCTTTTGATATTCTTCGTTTGTTTTTATACGAGAGTTACTAGTCAGTTAAAAATTGAAAAAATTTTTGACACCGATTTTTCCTGTTAATTTATTTCTCCTTTTTCTTTTTCTCTTCTGACGTGCTTCGTTAGTTTCTAGATTCCTCTTTGTTAGTAGGTTTTGAGGGATCTTTGGTGACTTATTCGGTTAAAACGTATTTCACCTAATTTTCCTGTTAATTTATTTCTCCCTTTTCTTCGTCTCTTTTCCTTCTCCCCTTTTGATATTCTTCGTTTGTTTTTATACGAGAGTTACTAGTCAGTTAAAAATTGAAAAAATTTTTGACACCGATTTTTCCTGTTAATTTATTTCTCCTTTTTCTTTTTCTCTTCTGACGTGCTTCGTTAGTTTCTAGATTCCTCTTTGTTAGTAGGTTTTGAGGGATCTTTGGTGACTTATTCGGTTAAAACGTATTTCACCTAATTTTCCTGTTAATTTATTTCTCCCTTTTCTTCGTCTCTTTTCCTTCTCCCCTTTTGATATTCTTCGTTTGTTTTTATACGAGAGTTACTAGTCAGTTAAAAATTGAAAAAATTTTTGACACCGATTTTTCCTGTTAATTTATTTCTCCTTTTTCTTTTTCTCTTCTGACGTGCTTCGTTAGTTTCTAGATTCCTCTTTGTTAGTAGGTTTTGAGGGATCTTTGGTGACTTATTCGGTTAAAACGTATTTCACCTAATTTTCCTGTTAATTTATTTCTCCCTTTTCTTCGTCTCTTTTCCTTCTCCCCTTTTGATATTCTTCGTTTGTTTTTATACGAGAGTTACTAGTCAGTTAAAAATTGAAAAAATTTTTGACACCGATTTTTCCTGTTAATTTATTTCTCCTTTTTCTTTTTCTCTTCTGACGTGCTTCGTTAGTTTCTAGATTCCTCTTTGTTAGTAGGTTTTGAGGGATCTTTGGTGACTTATTCGGTTAAAACGTATTTCACCTAATTTTCCTGTTAATTTATTTCTCCCTTTTCTTCGTCTCTTTTCCTTCTCCCCTTTTGATATTCTTCGTTTGTTTTTATACGAGAGTTACTAGTCAGTTAAAAATTGAAAAAATTTTTGACACCGATTTTTCCTGTTAATTTATTTCTCCTTTTTCTTTTTCTCTTCTGACGTGCTTCGTTAGTTTCTAGATTCCTCTTTGTTAGTAGGTTTTGAGGGATCTTTGGTGACTTATTCGGTTAAAACGTATTTCACCTAATTTTCCTGTTAATTTATTTCTCCCTTTTCTTCGTCTCTTTTCCTTCTCCCCTTTTGATATTCTTCGTTTGTTTTTATACGAGAGTTACTAGTCAGTTAAAAATTGAAAAAATTTTTGACACCGATTTTTCCTGTTAATTTATTTCTCCTTTTTCTTTTTCTCTTCTGACGTGCTTCGTTAGTTTCTAGATTCCTCTTTGTTAGTAGATTTTGAAGGATCTTTGGTGACTTATTCGGTTAAAACGTATTTCACCTAATTTCCCTGTTAATTTATTTCTCCCTTTTCTTCGTCTCTTTTCTTTCTCCCCTTTTGATATTCTTCGTTTGTTTTTATACGAGAGTTACTAGTCGGTTAAAAATGTAATAATTAATCAAGAAAGTTGATATTAAGAAATTTAGCGAGCAGTTATGAGCCAGAAAATAATGGTGCACAGAGTATATGTTATAGTAAATACATTATTTGAAATAACAAACTGAGGGAGGTATTATTTTATTTATCGAATAAAATAATATTGATAATTGGTAATAAAAACTAGAATATTACGCTTCGCGTATTTCGCGTACAATTTCATACGAAATTAGCGAATTTTGGTGCCACTGGAATGGTGGTGTAGGTATTCCAGAAGCACCTCTTAATCGCAGGACGCATTATCCCGGATGACCTTGGCCTCCAGGATTATTGACACAACTAGCCGGAATGACGGAGACGTTTGATATACATAGCTGGCTCGTTTAGCCTGGATAACCTTGACAAGTCCCAGGACGCACATCGATCGAGCGGAAACTGCACGTGGAGAGAAGGCGAAGGAGCAAGAGAGGAAGTTGCAACGGAGCGCATGTAGAAACAGTGCAACGTGTTTATCATCGTACGAATAAACAAACCAAGATCACGAGCTAAGAGTCTGATACGATAAGCATTGTAATACTGCAATTACATAGTGTTAAAATCGCTCGTTTCAGATTTTTCATTTTTGCACTTTCTAAAAATTAAATACTATTTAATTACTTTTAAATTAATTTCAGTTAGATCACGCTAATTATTATTATTTACATGTCTTACGTTTAGGTATAAGTGTGCACATTACAGAGCGGTAATGATTGCGTTAATTACACTAGAAGTCCATATTTATATCGTTATATCGTATCGAAATCCGTATCGAAGATCGTTATATCGTTATGTCGTTTCAGCTGAATACAATCGCCTATAAAACCGAATTTTTCCGGACATTGGAAATCTCATATTTCACCGATGAAATCAATTATCGAGCACAGGGCAATCGAGTGAAGTATCGTTATGTAACGTAGAAATTTTACTACAATTTATTTTCTCCATATGTTACCCATTCGAGTTGCCGACGAAATTATTTTCGATAATCAACCCTCTTGTAAACATTGCGATTTTAATTAATAAAGAAAAATATGAATCACGGCTGGAAACAACCGATTTTAAATAATAAAAAATTCCGCTTTCGATATTATGGCATTCTTCACTCGATTTTATGATTTCTCTTATAACATACCTGTAATTAATTCGACGATACATATTTTTCTAATTTAATTCATTTCTGACTGAATTTCGTTTAAAACTCTTCCGAAATGTTTCTGAAATTGTCTGAAGCTGAAGATTTATCTGCTTTATCGACCTCGACCGGTCATTTGACGTTATTTTTGCGTTGTTTCATGGAAGAACGCGGTTACAGTGGAGGAAATGAACAATGGAAATTCGAATTCGCATTTTGTTGGTTCATTCGATTATTCGAGAGTCGAAACCTGGGACGTGTTTCTAACTGAAAGCTCGTTATGTAGGATACTGCGAGAGCTCATTAGAAACTAACGTTGGAGGGTGTACGACGTCGTCGTAAGTAGAAAAGTTTGGTAAACTTAGCGAGGAGTGTAAAATGCCCCATATGAAACGAAACGCGATTAAATCGCTCTTACGAATTCCATAAAACGCCCAATTTTGTTTCAACGTATACAATTTATCGATGATCTTCCTTGATTTCCGACTTTTCTTAAATTTTGGCATTAGGATGTTCCATTGGTGCTTAAAATAAATTTATAATTTTGTATTTAAAATAAATTTATAATTTTGTATTTAAAATAAATTTATAATTTTGATCTGATGAAATTAATGTGTTTAGCAAATGAATAGCCCGTTTCCTTCGTTTTCTCTGTCACACGTTGGCTATTAGTGGTAGCCGTTCCAAATTAGTGGTAACGAGTATTTTATCGCTCTTGTCATTGCTCAAAAATGTCTATTACCTGTGGAGTCGTTAATAAGGTGAGAGAAAATTCATGGAGAGGTTAAATAAAATATTTTATTGGGAGCATTGGTTCGATAAATTATTTATTAGGTACTGAAATCTATCAAAAGGCTATTTTACGAGGTGAAATACACCTTTTCGAAATGCACCTCTTTGGTTTTCTCTTCTTAGCTGATAGGATTATGCTAATCTGACTCCTGTCAGGGTATTTATTTGTACTCGGGGATTCTATCTAGATTAGTGTACGCGTACAAACTAGTTGACGCAGGGTTCATGATTTCTGGAAATGGATCTCGAGCATGATCTATACTTCTCAGGGACAAGCTTATCTGCTGATGAAGCCGCATCGTTCTTGGTTTATTCAGAGTTCTCATTACACCTGTGGTCTCCGTGAAGGAATACAGCTCTTTGTTCGACACGTACATGTGGCTGATAGACGTAGTCTGCAAAAAGATTCACGGAATTAAACAATTTTGGATGTAAACAATTAAACCATGACCATTCCATATCGCACACGTTGGCATTAAATAGACCAAATTATGTAGGTCACGTAACTGGGTCAGACTCTTCACTTGCACAATTATGGGAAATATGGAAATACTTTTGAAAGAGTTGATATTAACATTTGATATTAAAGGACAGTGACACAATTGTAAACCCCCATTCGCATATCCTGTACAGTTCTAGTGTTATTATCAGTTTAGTATCCTGGTGATTCGACAGCATACAAATTTAACATTGAAAAGATCAAATTATTTGGGTCAAATGACTAGGTCAAACTTTTGACACTTGTAATCGTGGAAAATATAGAACTACCTTTGGAAAAATTGATATTAACACCTACAGAGGCAGATTAACATTTGATATTAAAGGACAGTGACACAATTGTAAACCCCCATTCACATATCCTATGCAGTTCTAGTGTTATTATCAGTTTAGTAACCCGATGATTCGACAGCATACAAATTTAACATTGAAAAGATTAAATTATCTGGGTCAAATGACTAGGTCAAACTTTTGATACTTGTAATCGTGGAAAATGTGGAATTACTTTTAGAAAAAATGATATTAACACCTACAGAGACAGAGACACGATTACACCCTCGTTTACAGATCCCTTAGTGTCCTAGCGTTATCCTAGTAACATCTTAACACTAACAACTCACCATATCCATATAAGTATTCTTATTCCCAAAACTAAAGTCCTCCTGATTGCCAAAGAAGTATATCTTCCTGTTCGGACAATTCTTCGGCTGTCTGACCTTGTCGATCCTTAGACTGGCCGAGTCCAAGGGCGCGATGCCAGGTCGCTCAGGATTAAACACGATGTCGAACTGATCGTGCCTTGGTCTTTCGCCTTCCCACCCGTATCCTGCCCTTGACACTTTGACCTCCACCTCGCAATAACCGATATTAGAATTCTCCATGGTAACGAACCGGTCGTGAGCATTTTCCAGCTCAAAGCCAACGTTCAGCTGCCCGACGATGGCCCTTATCATATCCAGCCTCCATCTGGGGATGTCCCGAGACACGACCAGGTTCTCGATCCCTCTGGAATTGAACCTGATCTCGAACGGGTCCTCGTTCACGAATCTGTTCAAGACTGGGACGAAGTTCCTCGCGTTCGTGCATCTGGAGTCATCCGGGCTAGGCCTGACCACTCTACTTTCAGCGAAACGACAGCTAAGGATGTCGCTGCCTTGCGGCCTGCACTTTAGCTCTGTCGCCACCATGGAGCAGAAATTGTCCCTCTCGTGGACGATATTGGCCAAAGACATGTTCACCAGGACGTCGTAAGTGCATTCCGGAACATATCGGCCCAAGCCGGAGCGGTGGACGACGTCGTAGGCGTTGTGGACGTGTGCGGCTGGAACGACAAGGAGCCTATTAAACTGGACGGTCGGAATAGATCACACGTGCCGACAAATGCGTAGCAGGATGCCTTTGACTCTGTCTGTCTGTATCACGCGGCAGTTTACGGTCATTATACCGCGTACAGAATCGATGCCTACCGGTTGCAGCAGGAACGGAATCGCGATTATTAATCGCTGGGTCGATCATAGACATGTCTCTATTGAGTCGCAATTTCTTGCTACGGGATTTCGCAATGGCGGATTTTAACCACTTGCGCTACGATTTAACTTCCGGTTGCTGTGCTGCGCTTTACAATATAACATACGGTAAGGCGTTACATTGACGCTGCATCGCGTCTGAGAGCTAACTGTTAGCCGACGTGAAGGACACGTTTTTGTTTCTGCGACAAATGCCTATCGACGTGGTATACACGTCGCTGGCGGCTTTGGAACAAAAGCATCTCGACGTGCGTGGCACGTCTTTATAGCGCAAGTAGTTAAAACGATGAAATTAGGCTGATCGTGAGTGGAGATCAGCGGATTATTTGCGTCCGAATCGGATCGAGGTATACTAGGTGGTTGCAAATGATAGCACATGATTTTCAGTTGGAACGTTGAGAAATTAAATTCAGGACCAGGATTGGGATTGGGATGAAGAGACGAGTTCAAGGATAATTCCTAGTCAACGATCCTGCGAAGTGCAGAATGCATAATATCGTCTGAGAAACTGGTTTTAATGTTTTATTATATTATATTATAATATATTACCGATACGTGGTAGGTTTAATGTTATTGATAAATAACGGAATGAAAGAAAAGATTGATTTACTTCCAGTTTTAAATATTTCCTTTATACGTGAAACATAGAGTTAATTTTTTAGTTTTCATTTAGGCGGCATGTAAATAGGGTAAATGTGTTTGTGTATAAACAAGGTGTACAGGTGATGAGAGTCGAATTTGGAGTGTGCACTCCTAACAAGAAACCTCATTTTTGTTTAAGATATATTAGAATATCCATTGAAAAAGTGCAAACATATCTTTTAACAGTTTATAAATTGTACAGCTAAATTAAATAAATTCTACAGCTTACTTATGAAAGCTATATTTAAAATAATCAGTAAACAAAATTCTTGAAAATAAGCAACAGTCCTGTCGTTACTGTCCTGTGACGTAAATTTCAAACGAAATATTTAAAATATCAGGGAGTTATTGGCAACAGGATTGAAAAATTGAAAAATAATTCAGAGTGCAAAGAGGTAATATATTATAATGAGAGAGATTAATGATTGATTCCCGGAAATCCATCGAGCTACGTAACCTTTTCCATTTTCTCGTTTACCGTTTAAACTGAACTGAAACGCGTTCCAGAAGTTCATAATTCGTAGGATGATAATCCTATATTACACGTACAGGATGCAGGGGTGTACCTAATTAACTGCGGGAGAGTGTAACCAACGAATCGGTACTGGTTATAAAAACGAAAGAAATCTGTTCCCCGAAATTGTACGTAAACACGTGTCGGAATTACGGTTCCACGAATCGCCGGTATTTCAGCGAAGGCCGGAAAAATCCGGTGGAAGACGCGACGCGAAGGAAAATACTAGCCGGTGAAAAATATCCTTTGATATCGTGCTGGTCGTTCAAATATCCTCTTTTCAGTTTATCGACGAGCGTATCCTCTCGCGTGTACGGCTCGAGACCGCCCTTCGGCGTGCGCGAGGCTACCGGGCCAGCTTTCAAAGCTCGCGGTGGTTCAAGCCGCGGTGTTTTATCGGAAAAGCATGTCCGATCCTTATAACAACGGCGGGGACCCGGCGAGTGCGATGATGGAACGAGAGGGTAAATAAATTCGCGAGGTAGTCGGAAGAGGATAGCGATGTAGGTGAGTTTATGCGAAAGGGGGGAAATGGGGAAGTGATGGGGGCGATTGTTGAGTCGAGGGTTGATTATCGAGGGAAAATATAAATACAGTTGGTTTGAAATGTGTAGCACTGTTGTGAATCATTGTATGCAATAATACATGTAATATTAATTAACACTAGATTTACGGAACCCGTCAATTTGACGAAAGGGTTGCTCCAATTTAATCCAGATTTAATTAACTTATATTAACCCTTTGCACTCGAGAGGTGACATTTAATCAGATTCTAAAGATCGATGTTAATTAATGTATCAAATTTAAAATTATCTAACGATGTGTGGAATGTCGAAGAAAAGTAATTCTATGTTTTAATTTGCATATGATTTCTCATTTACCATTTTAAAAATATCGTCGACTCTGTGACAGAAAGTCTTCGAATTACTATTTTTCTGTAACGAAAAAGTCGTCGAGTGCAAAGGGTTAAGACTGTTAATATAATATGTAATTGCTTTTAAATTAAACTAATCGTTAAAAAAAAGGCACGTGGTTTCCTTTACCTGTCAATTTGACAGGTGTCCTTAGAAATAGGTATACAGATAGCGTCTGTAAACCTAGTGTTAATAATGGCGAAGTGACACCGTTAATGTTGATATTGAATTAACAATCTGGATGATCTTACAAATCAGAATGCTTTTAAATTGAAGGTTGGTTATTTAAGATAGATGCAGATACAATTAGTTGGAAATCATTGTATGCAGCAATGTTATTAATTAACAATGGTAAAATTAACAATAGCGAAGTGACACCGTTAACATTGATATCGAATTGTCAGTCTGGATGATTTTAGAAGTCAGGACGATTTTAAATCGAAGATTGGTTATTTAAGATAGACGAAGATACAATTGGTTGGAAATTGCTGTATGCAGCAATGTTACTAATTAACAATGGTAAAGTGACACCGTTGATGATGACATTGAGTTGACTGTCTAGAGTTCGTAAGTAGATGGTAATGTGAATACAAAAATTCGTAAAATGGAGATAATGGTTGAGACGAAGGTTAATCATTGAGAAGAGATATAGGTACAGTTGGTTTGAAATATATAACAAGCTTGCAAACTCATTTTAGGTTGCAATGGTACTAATTGGAATTGATAAAATGTTATCATTGATGTTATTGACTTTGAATTGACTGTCAGGATGATGTTAAATTGAATCTTGCTTATTTAACAAAAATGTAGATAATATCAGTAGCACTAATTGGCAACATATCAATATGACAGTACCAATATATTACCTGTTAATTTCTATCACATCACTTCGATCATTATAATTTATTCATACTACGTTTAGATATATAAAATTCCAATCGATTCGTTAACTATCATTTACCATCAATTCACTATCCCCAAAATTCTGCATAACTTTTCGAAAATTCAAAGCCACTCGTTGTTAAACAGTGCAACACTGAGTCCAACTCTATCTCTGCTATTTTTCCAAAAAATCCTAGTGTCTCAAAGATGGAAAAATTCGTTCTATAGCACTCGACTGACTCTAGGCGTCCTTGCTATATCGTTCGAACTAACTACGCGAGTATATATAGCGAAATTCTGTCTAGAAGATGGATGTGTCATTCATAGGAGCGTCGTTGAGAAAAGGAAGCCGCGTGCGTACGTACCCAGTAAAAATGGCAGAATTATTACCAACATGTCGGACAGCTTCTGCTAAGGCGACTGATGCAACCGCGTTCTATCTGTCTCCTCTTTATACGACAGATAACTTGATTCATTACTGTCTCCTTGAAAACAATTTCATTAACGACCGCTTCCGTGCGGATCGTGGTTTCTGCACACATCTTCCGTATCTCTTCGCACGCTTCGTATCATTTTCCATAGTTCCTGGATCGTTCGAATACGAGACACGCCTTTAAGATTCTAATAGACCCCGAGATCCTCGTTCCCGGAGGCGTTTAAAGTTTAAAGCGAGTCGGAAGAACTCACCGAGAGACCACGTTTCCTCGTCGCGCGATCCGCAAGTGTCTTCGTCGTCATGGCTCTTCGAACGCTATAAGTTGCTTGACCTGACTCGGATCAACGGGAGGATCAACGGAAAATGTGTTTACGATCGCGTTAAACCTGGCAATTTTCTTGAGATCCTAACTCCTTTCGAAGACAGTTCCAGCCGCAGCTAGGATCATTCGAGGTCGAACTGGACCTCTCGAAGATCATTTCAAGGTTATTCGAATCTCCATAGAAGTAATTTCAATCGTGGAAGTCTAAATTCGAATCTTGACGAGGGTCGTTTAATATTAAACTGGTTCATTTGATAGTCACTTCAAGGTCACTTCTAAGTCTATAAAGGTAATTTCAATTTTTAAGCTCGAAATTCGAATCTTGACAATCTTGACAATCTTGATATGGCTGTTTAAGGTTAAAATGATTAGGTCGTTTAAAGATCGTTTTAAGGTTATCTGAAGGTTCACAGAAGCTATAACTTCAGTTTCGAAAGTCGAGAGAAAAGTCACCGCAAAAGAGCTTCGAAAGTCATTGGAAAGGCCGTTGGAAGCCTAGCATTTGGTTAGTAGCGAATTGTTTCAAGGTCATCTCTCGATGAAATCATTAAAAGGTCTAGTCAGTGGCTGCGAGGTCGTTCGAAGGCCGAATCACGCAGTCTCAAGATCATTCGAAAGTCTGACACGCTGACATTAAAATAATTGAAAGTTCTGTCAAGGTTGCGCGAAGTTCCCAGTTAAATTATTCAATGGCATAGTCCTTTCTTCGAAATTCACGAGTGGGAATAAATAACGTTGTCTAGTATCTTTCACAGGGACAAAAATAAATAACAGCGGCACTGGATCTAGCCAAGTTTCTCAGAAGCAGAACACGCTATTCGACGTTCAGCACCTTGAACTGTCCTGGGTTCTTTCCGTTCGAATTAACGCATTGTACCGGTCCCTTGTATTAAAAGGCCAAAATTGAATTGACCCATCGCCACCAGTCGACTCGACACACACTTTTCGACCACGACCTCGTCGTTGAATACAGCCTTGAATCCTCTTTCACTCGTTCATCAGGCTTTTCCTCGCGCATACTCTCAGTCATCGTTAACACGTTCACGTGCAGACAAATGATAGATATCATGGTCGACATATGTGTCTTTCACTTGTCAAACTCTCGAATTAATTAAAAAAAAAGAAAATCGATAAATTCCCAGAAATAAAATATCATATTAGATATAAACAGTAAAGCACGGATAGAATGATTTGGCATTAAAATTTAGAAAATGAAGGGAATTCAGTGGGCAGCCAGCGTCAACACTAACACACACAGCTTCGTCACAGTAGATAAAGAAGCAGGGTCTCTAGAGACCCCTTTACCGTTACCCGAGGATTAATCACTTGATCACTGTGAATAATAAAATAATCGAAATTTATTTTTCTACATCGAATAAAAATCGCCACATAGTCTCTACTGTCGAAAAATGGCGACCAAAATTGAACAATACGCCGAAACGATATTTTTACCAAATTGAAGCTCAAATTCTCGAATATTTTTCTACGAGATTTACTCCTTAATCTTCGCTTTTAATATCATAATATCGTAACAATTCACGAAACTCCATTAAGCAACGGAATTTAAATCCAGAGCTCCGTCTAGGTCTTCTAATGATTTAAATATGGCGCCAATTTAGAAATAAATTCCGTAATTCCTTAACCTTCTCCATAATTCATGTTGGAAGAAATTAGTCGACTAAACGATGAGTATTCGATCTCCTAAACTTTATCAGATCTAGTTGCAGACTGGCAGACAGGGTAGCTTTAATTGTTTTCCAGGCTCCGAAGGCCTTCTACGACCCTCGCGACGCTCCGCGTTCGGTGATCGAATTAAAGGCGGTGTATGCATCGCTGCGGTGTAGATTCTCGGTACCAACGGATCGCAGATGCGATAGGGTCCTTGCTTCCTTCGCACCAATCGAATCGTTTAAAGCATTCGGCCGCAATTAAAGTGGAACGCGCTTTTAGCTGCTGTCGTTTCCGCATTCTCCGCGCAGCTTAGCTCCTGTCGTTAATTTACGCGATTATCGAAAGCAAAGACGTTCAGACGGTTTCCATTTAAACGATTATCTCATTTGCTCCGAGACAAATTTGATGAAGCACGGATCGGATTTACGATTCTGCTAGGAATATATTATAAAAGATTGGGATAATAAACGAGTATGGATGAAGTAGTATAGTTTCGATACGTCGGTGTTATTCTAACCTCAATTCGAACGCGCGCGAGTAAGGCGAGATTCGAGTATACGAACGATACATTACTTTATTATTTACAGAATCAAAAGATACAATTACACACTATTTACAACAATAGTGAATTTCGTCAGAACCGACGAGAACAATCGTGAATATCGATTGAAATCGCTCGGCTAGCTCGGCTAGATCTTCAACATGTCTTCCATCGAGCTGTCCATCCGCCATCTTCCGACGAACATGCTGGCCGGCTCGGGATCCTTCACCTCCGGCGCTTCACTAACCGCCGGTGTGATCGATTCTAACCTCAAACTTATATTCTCGTACAAAGTCGTCATAATTTCCCCCGATCCCTTTTTCATCACCACGTTCGTTATCACGTTCGTGGTACCAGATATGAACTCGTTGGACGTGATCACGATTTGACTCTCCGACGAAATCTGCAACGAAGCATCGTTTCGTTTCGATATACGTATGTACATACAACGCTAAACGAAGCATAGACGATCTCAGCGATTCTCTCCGATTCGAATACTCACGACGGTGGACACCATGTCGTTGGCATGACTCATAGTCTCAGAGCTACCGAAGAGGTACGGCACCTTGTGAGTGCACATATTAAGATTCCTGATCTTCCTGATCTGCACCAGCAGGCCCTCCTCCAACCCGAACACCGTCTCCAAAACGTAGCCACGGTTCGTGTGGAAAGGATGGGCGACCGTGCCCCTCTGCACCGTGAAGATCGTCACGCACTCTCCCTGCGTGAAGTTCTCCACCAGCTCGTACGTGTGGTCGTACACGTTGACGAGCACACCGATGTTCAACTGTTCCACTATCGCCCGAATCATGTCCAGCTCCCGTGGCTGTATATTCTCGTTCACCACGAGACTATCCAGGCCCCGCTCGTTGAACTTGATCTCGAACTGGTCCTGATTGATCTCGTACGCCTTCTGTCTGGACACCTGGCTAATAGGCACCGCCGGTACCTCGGGATCTAAGTTGTCAGTTGCGTAGCTGTCAGCCTTCGAGTCCCGAAAATGGCAGCTGAACACGTGGTATTCCTTCGGCTGGCACACCAGCTTCGAGGCGACGTTCAGTCTGATGCTCATGTAGCTGTCTTTCTCCGGGAGCTCCGTGGAGTTCACTTGAACGTGGAAGGTGTACACCGGCCCGCAGCACCATGACGAGTCGATGGAGACACGTGCGGCTGAAAAACGCGTCCACGTGATGGATTAATCGCGTTCCGCGAGTCTTGAAGATATTTTTCGGCTGATCCGTCGTGAATACCGCGCGGAGAATAGAGATCCATCCTAACCGAGCTACTCACGAGCACACGTGAACGCGAATTGAATGATTGGACCTGGCTTGAATAGGGCCGATTAGGGGAGACTGGTCTCGCGCTATCTTTCGATTCGTATCACGCGGATGTACCTCATCCCAGCCACTCTCTTTATAATTTCGAGTTTCCGCTCGATCAGCGAGAGATCGAGGTACAACGACGCTTATTTGCCGGTTCTCGCTTGTGGATCGGGATCGAATACGATTCGAAGGCACGGGAGAAGGTGATGGAGGCGAATAATGGTTACTCGATGATTCGCAGGAGGATTAAGAGTGAAAAGGACAGGTGGAGGCGAGAGGAGACACGCGCATATGAGTGCCATCGCGTTGTCTCTGGCATGGCTTACCTATGAAAAATGGCACTACGTTCAGCAATGCGTTCATGGTGACACCGTGCAACGTTCAACTACTTTGGTGGAGTAACCGATGTTGGGGCCGCTCTTATACCGTGGCTAAACTGCACTACTGACCTCTTCTTACGATTAGCAAGCTCCAATTTACCGAAGCCGACTCTCTCTTTCCAGTTGGAAAATAAAGTGTGTGTGCACAGGCGGTGATAGGTTTAGAGAATTGATACAGTAGTTCCAATCGGGGTCATGAAGGGACCCTCCGCGACCCGTTAACACACCATTTCGAAACTGGCCGGCAATTACCTCGCGTGTCAACGACCGTCGTCCCCGTGCTTCTCTGCTAGTCCCTATGCAGGAATTCTTCCAGGCTTTTCGCCGCTTTTCGGTTTTCCCATAAGCTGAATTCGTAGTTACTTTTCGGTTTATAGTTCGATTCGATAAACTACGTCTATGGTTCCCTATAGTCCTCTGTGGTTTCGCGTGTTTCGAATTTTAATCCACTTGGATCGATTTCTATCGTCTCGTGCGTGTAGCGTGTTAATTTCTTGGCTAGAGATTCGAACTTATGACTTTTGTTTTTCCCTTATGGAATTCTTTTCGTTTCGCATGGTGTTAGTACGGTTTTAGTGTGATCTTGGATATTGTAGAAATTTGGAGTTTATTTTCGTTTCAGATTTTCAATAGCAGACGATCTAGAACCGTCGATAAATACGATTCGCATGGAATTGTACAAGTATCGAGTGGAAGAAGAGCCTAATTGGACACAACAACGCGCGTTGCCGATACACACGTCGAATCTCGTGTTATTAGTCTCGAAATCGATAAATTTCACGTTACGATACACCCCAGCTTTAAGGGAAACACGCGATCAGTTGAAACTCGCTATTAATTACCGACAGTTGAAACTGCTCTCTATTAATACGCCTCGCGAGCTTCTCCAACTTTATTTCACATCCAACACGTTCTTCGGGAATCGCTTTGAATAAACAATTCGGAACTTTATTTTCTACAAATCTTCGCAGTACCACCTGCGAGACGGGATAGGTGAGGGAAAGAAATTTTCCAGGCGCAGAAATTTTACTTCGCAACGTACCAACAAATTAGTCGTTTATCCGAGTCACACCTAAACAACGTGCTTCGAGAAGATTTCGAAGTTTAATTTCGACAATTACTGTTCGTCATATCGGCACACTGGGTAGGATCAACGGAGATTAAAGACAAATGAACGAAATCGAACCACATTTTACTGAAGTATCCGTCCAAGTCGTACACGTCCACCCTGTTGATGCTGTCTGACTGGAAGCTATGCTTGGTAATACGCATCTGGCTGGTGAAATGTCTCTGAAAACATTGCAAGAATAAACGAATTACCAGGTGAATAATTAACCAGAAATTACATTAACATCATCGCGTACCAGTTTCTCCACGAATTCCTCCAGAGACATGTCACGGTGTCTGTCGACTCTGTTTCCCAATCTATTCTGTCCAGCTTATATCGGCTCGTTGATTAATAAAACTAGCTGATATTCTCCCTCCATGGTCTTGTTATCCGTTTTCTCGTACGAAACTTCGTAATCCACGTCGCACTTGCTAATAACCGTGTTCTCTAACCTAGTTCTCTACTTTACGGTTCTTATCTTCGACCAGACGCTGAACGATTCGCTATCAGTCGATACAAGTTCATGACAGTTTCGTTCATCGGTCCATCGTTTTCCTGGAACACGTACTTCTCGATTCCGTCCTCGTTGAACTTGATCTGGAAGATTTCCGTAGTCTAACTTCGAATAAGACACGTTCTGGTCCTCTTCGAACGGTGAATCGTACGATTTCGCAAATACGCCATTTTTAAAACGGCATCGCAAACTGTTCGGTTCCTCTGGTCAGTATTTCATTTCAGTGAACACTCTCGATTCCACGTCTCTGTGTCCCATGTAAACGTTCGTGACGCTCACGTTGAACGTGTACTCCAGTCCGTATCGCCATGGATAGTCGTAACTTTTGAGACGAACGGCTGAAAGTGAAGAGAAATATTAGTTATTAGTAAATATTACTTAGAAAGATTAGGTTCTGTTCGGTTCATCTACGTTTAGCTACGAGAGGTTAGGTTCCGCTGGGTTCATCTACGTTTAGCTACGAGAGGTTAGGTTCCGTTAGGTTCATCTACGTTTAGTTACGAGAGGTTATGTTTCGCTGGGTTCAGTTATGTTCAGCTACGAGAGGTTAAGTTTCGCTAGGTTCATCTACGTTTAGCTACGAGAGGTTAGGTTCCGCTGGGTTCATCTACGTTTAGCTACGAGAGGTTAGGTTTCGTTAGGTTCATCTACGTTTAGTTACGAGAGGTTGTTTCGCTGGGTTCAGCTATGTTCAGCTACGAGAGGTTAAGTTTCGCTAGGTTCATCTACGTTTAGCTACGAGAGGTTAGGTTTCGCTAGGTTTATCTACTTTTATCTGAGATCCACGTCTATTTAAGGTCCATCTCCATCACGGAGCTGTGACATAGGGAATAAAAGAAGACCATGGAGTAGAAACAAGATGGAAGGGAACGGAGATGCTGGTTGATAGAAATTGATAAAGATTGATAAAAATTGATGGAAATTGGGTCACACGAATGGTCCTCGAGACGCGAATTTTTACATAATCGACGAATCGAACGGGGAGAGCTTCGGCGTGAACGGTGTTAACGTGTGGTTGCAACTAGGAATTAGGTCACACGAATGATCCTCGAGACGCGAATTTTTACATAATCGACGAATCGAACGGGGAGAGCTTCGGTGTGAACGGTGTTAACGTGTGGTTGCGACTAGCTGATCTGTCCTTCGTGAATCATTGACGATACCAACGATAACCGGTCACGAGTATACTAATAACGAGCAATCGGGGGACCTAACTGACCTAGGAGAAACGACACTAGAATAAAGTTCATGCAAAAATTGAAACGAAGTTTTCTTCCTCAGATGGAGAGGCTGGCTTTTATACGTCGTCCCCGGTACCGTATCTGCAATGAAGTTGGTAGGGGGCAATTTATGCGATACACGTCCACAGCTGCAGTTCGAGCATATCACGTGTATGAAAATTTCCTCGACCGATTTGATCAGTAAACATACGAAAAATAGATAAAAAAGTCCAATTATTGGTTTAATAACTTCATTGTCGATTGGTATTGGTAAAATAATGTATTAATTCTCGATGATTATGCGAAAGAATCTACTAATCGATATAATATTAACATTGGGTACATTCGTTTACGGTCGGACTATTAATTCGATATTATCGAGTTTAGATCGAAAATATGATTAATTTCTATTCCATATCTTTGACATTTACTATTTGCTAAATCGATTAACTTCACAAAATAGAAAAGACACTTTAATTTTAACCATTAGAAGTTAAGCTCTAATCGAGTACCTTGATACAAAAATTTATAAAAATTCGAAAAATGGAGATGGCAACCTAGTCCTGTGGATGACTCATATATCGCATACTTGGAACAGATAATGAGAGAATAAAATTACAATTTATATACAGAATCGATAGAGTAGATCAATGTTCAGTTATGATTAAGTATATTAAGCTCGTGTTTGTGTATCGATCGCAGGATGAACGTGCACCGGACCAAGTAATTAATAAGCATATTAATGGCGTCTTCGAAGTTCGTAAGTTCTCGCGGTTCGCTTGTGGTTTGAAACAAGTTCGCGACTCTGATAGGTTTATTTACCGAGTTCTAGTTTGAGTGATTTCGCGCTACACGTGATAGAAATTCACGCGTGGAAAATCGTCGAGATAATAAATTTTGTTTCCTAGATTCCACCGTGATTTAAATTTCGCGCGTAACCTTCGATTAACCGTTATTTTTAATTGCTAAATGTCGAAAGATTTTTGCAGCGAAAGAAAAAAGTAAGAGTTGAAACAATTGAATGAAGAATTAAAAAAAATTTGTAATTTAAATTTTGGGTTATGAAATGTGGTGTAGATTTTCTATTTCTTCCTTTTTTTTTTTGTAAAGATGAGAAAGGAAAGCGTTCGAAAGAAAAATGAGTAAGGAAGTAAAAAATATTTAGGTTGAGAAAAATCGTGAGATACGCTTGGTAAAGACCTTGAAAGTGACATTTATCTCGTAGAATAAAGAGAGTAATTTTGTCATTATCGCGTTGACCAGCAGCAATGATCTCGTTTGTAACACTAAATTAGATGACGTCGACAACTAGCCCGATAATAGGCGAAACAATGATAGCTTTTTATAAATACCAAGAAAACTGGTTCGTGGTTTAAGCGACTATAAGTTCGTTTAAATAGTTGCAAAATATTTGAGATTTATTTATTTTTTAAGCGATTTCAGTTAAATTAAATCCTCTAATTTTGGTACGACAAAACTTGTGCACGTGCATTGTACACGTGTTAGATAATTAGTCAAATTTTTGGAAATCGTGATTACTTTTGTTTCGAATCGAGATATATACGAAATAAAAAAATAAACATTGTTTCTAAAAAAATTGCTTTCGTAAGACTTATTACTTTTATATATTTGATACAATTTGTGTCATAATTTACCTTTTATTTTTTTTTAAATGTAATTTTTTAAGATAACTTTCGTTAGAAAGAAAATTCTTTGAAAGTTCCCTAAGAATCCTACAATGTTTTACAGAAGGTATCATGAGTTGCAACAGATGGCGACACTATACGTAAAGCAGAATTACTATGTACAAACAGAATTTAAAAAACAAGATTCGAAACTTACATATATCATTTTCTATGTTTAATTTAAAATGTAATTAATCTTTTATAAAATGTAAAAAATCAACATGCCTATTATTATACATTTTTATACATTGAAAAATTAACAATTCGTAAAACATCTTTCTTCGTTTCATCTTTTTTATTTTCTTTAATAACCTTGAGGTTATTTGAAGATACGAATATCTTAATCGAGTATGCAGAAATTTATGAAAATGTACAGATTATATTAATGCTTATTTGTGTATAACATTAAGATAATACTTTATATAGGACAAATTCTATTTTCTTACTGATTATATTTCGAGTCGTCACTGATCCAGAAATTAGGTGACCAAAAACACACACAGAAATGAAGGACAAGGTAGAATCTCTCATATGAATGATAAATTTTCCTAAACAGAAGTCACTACAGCCATCTTGTGAACAGAAACGAAAACTAAAAGTTGTCGGTCAAGATGGTCGTCGGTCAATGCACAATCAATAATGCACTTTTATTATTATTACATAGATAGCGACTCTAGGACCTTAAGGACTAATTTACGTAATAACCTACACTTATGAATTGTAAATTATATATGTTCGCAATATAGACAGATTCGTACAATATTTCAAGAATTGAAGAATATATCAATTAATTATGATATTGAGAAATTTTCGTGATATAACAAACTGGTTTTAATCTAAATAATGTCATAAAGAATGATGAAACATTATCATATCATTCATAACATTTACTTTTTTACATTTTAAATACAACATAAATCATAAATCTGATTAATTGTAAAGCAAATTAAATCATCAAAAAATAACACTAATTCGATATATGTATAACCATGCATTGCATTTTGTTATAGGGTTTTGTATAGTAAAAAAATAATTTCTTAAATCTAATGATATTTTATTTACAAAAAGAATTGTATGTATTAATGCTTCGAAAAAAGAAATCCATAAAATAAATACAAATTTTTAATTTAATATATGGTATGAAAAACATTGACATTGTACTAAATCTTTGTTCATACGGTCCTGGCCATGATTTCTGGTTCTTATCTGCTCGCATTTCAGCTGATTCATTTGTCTCGATACAGAAATATGGCTGCTTTCAGTCATAACTGATTTGGACATATCATAGATTATACTATTATACTATAGTATCTTTTAACATATATCGATTCATTAATCACGATGCAAGTTGCAAGCTTTGTCATAATTTGTTTATTTGCTGAACAACGTTGAATAATTTTTGTTTACATCTATACAAGTTGAGAATTGATGGGGACTGAGATATCATACGCATAAATGTAAATGTCAAAGTTCATAGGAAAATCCATTTAAACTAATAAAAGGTGTAATTCCCGTGACGTAAGTTGTATACCAAAGTAAGACAAGTTTCTTATCGTGCACTTTGACCGCTTCGATTTAAATGTAACTATTGAGGGCAATCAAAATCTTCTATTAATTATAAACACAATCGAAAGAATTTCACAACATGAATCAAACACTTCGGGTCCTCGATGATAGCAAATGCTAGAAATAATTATAAAAGAACGATCTCTGTTATGTTAATATTTGTAGGTGATGAGGAAAATCCAAGACAACTTCCAATTCCAGTGATCCTTGTTTCTTCTTCACTGGATAAATAAGACGTAGATGTGACCCTGACAACAAAAATCATTACCCCTACCATCTTCCCGGTATAAGTCAGAAATACACCATCAAGAGAACAGAAAATCAAAGACGTTTGATGAAGCATATAAATACGTGAAGGATACATAACTGCACTCCTGATATTCCTATGCTTCTCGCGAATATTTTATGGCACTCAGACGATAACGGTGATTTCTTTATCGATGAGAAAGTTTATGAATACAAACAAAAAATTGGGTCGTGAACACTGTGAAGCTACATACATTATAATTTCTTTTTTATTTTTGTTGTATTTCAATTTTTTAAGATAATTTCCTTATCGAGATAGAAGCCACAAAGTCATGCAATTTTATCGACGTACGCTGCATACTACGAAGTACTAAAGACACGGTTTATTTTCGTAGCTATACATATGTACTTGACTTTTACAAAACTAAACTGTTTCTTTCAGTGAAATGCAAGAATGTTAATTATATTCAAACGATAAAACTTCAGAAGGAATTTATCGTTTATTTATTGCATTTAATTAAATACATTTAATCAAATGCATTATCTCCTTTGCGTGTACTATATTTACACGGGATAACCTCGACTCATTTTTGCTTGTTTTGTGTATCAAGCGTCGAATAAAAATACAATCGGAAAATCGTATACAAGATGGTCTATGATGTCAGATTGAAACCGCAACGGAACACGAATATAGTGACAAAAGTTAACATGCTGTGATACGTAAAATATGACAATTATTCAGAAACAAAAGCTTCATAGTTTCGCATAGAGCATGAATCAGAAACTAAACGCATGTTCATTGTGATCGATCTTAAGATATTCCACAATTATGACATCATCTATTCTCTTACACTATACTTAACAAAGGCAAGACAAATATTTCTTCCTGTTTAAAACGTTATCTAAATAAACATGGAAATACTTAAAAATAAAGCATCAAATTAAAACTGCAAAAACTATTAAAGTCTTAATCAAATTTAATCATTAAATTCTTAATTATAAGATTTTAGCACAAGTAAAATTGTTTAAAATTAAGAAGCTTCTGATATCTTTCCTTGCATTCTTATTTATTAAGTGAATCCTCTTTTATCATTGCCCATTTTAAGGTCAGGATATTTTCAACAAACTCACTCGTTATCTAGGTATGCGTGTCGAGAAAGATTTCACGAGAATTTAGTTCATCGTCGAAAAGAGAAATTAGTGTTCCAAAAGAAAGATGCCAGTGATGATGAAGCGTACATTTCCCCAACGTAAACTTTGTGCTTCCAAAGATGCGTACGTACACATGCATCTGGGGAACCGGTCACGGGAAGTTGTAGCGATTTCCCATCGACGTATGACTCGACCGGTTCTGTGGTGGGGAATCCAGTATCTGCGGATTTATATACAAGAGGCACCATCGCTTTGAATAGATTAGTTCCAACCGGTGTAATCGAACGGTTAGTCTGCAGTTCTTAGGGAAACACCATACGTGCAAATTGTGTATCTTATTGGAAACCAGGAAATTAAAACGAAATCATGGTAAGTAAAAATTATTTCATGAAAAAAATTAATAAAAATTATTAACGAAAACATCAGACGTTATTTCATCATCTTGTACGTCGTTGTATTGATTCGTTCACATTTGTCCATCTGTAATAAATGCCACAATATAATTTTTTATACGGAAAGTAAAAATAAAAAGTAAAAAAAGAAAAAGTGGAATAAACGAAATAAAATATTTGGTTATGAAAATTGTTTATAAAGCAAATACGTACCACGAGATGTGTGTTCAATTAATAATATCTTTCTTTAAATTTGTCTTTACAGATAAAATACGCAGCAATTTTATTCACCATGTTTATTTTGGTACAGTCACAGCGACCGTATTATGCTAAAAACAACAGAACTTATCCTGGGGTACTTGTACAATACCTGAATAATCAAGACTCAACACCTGTTTCTGGTACTGAAGCTCTTGGAAGTCGACTTGATTCAAATAGTAGCAGTTTACCAGGGTTAGAATCTGCAGTGACCAGTACTCCGATGACTACTACGTCAACAATTCCACCAGATTTGCCAGTAGATGCTTTGGGAGATGTTAACTTAATAAATCGAATCAAAACCTGGCCAAGAGAAAAGCAGCCGTTCTGGTATATCAACTGGCAACAGATTCAAGAACACCGTGGTAGCACGAGAAATAGATCAGAACCGAATCCAACGGAAACCAGATCGTTTTTCGCGGGTTAAAAAAAAAGTGTTTGGAATGTTATTGCTTTATGTTTAATCTGAGACGACACGCACTGCCGTCACTATTTTACTAGTCAAATTGAATACTGTTTTTTTGTAAAACTTACTCAACCGATGATGCAGTTACTTTATCGACACAGGATTTAATATCCAATGAATTATGATAATTAAATTAAAAATTTGTGTACTTTGAATCAATATCATTTAATATCCACACGAACAAAAAATCCTTAAATTATGTAAGGCAAAAGAAAAACGTTCAATCTTGTTTTCGAGCTGTGCTTCTATCACGACGAATAAAGAGATATTAATTAAGGGAGGTAAGTTCGAGTGTACTTGAAAAACTTTAAATTTCCAATCCACCTGCTGAGCAAGCCACAATCGCCAATAAGATATCACGACGAGGCGAGACAGGGCCGAAATCCGAGTCTCCTATTGGATCGCGCAAGTTGCGCACGAGTAGCTGACTATACGTCGATGACGTCACGGCAGTCCATCCAATGCAAGCGCTTGAATCTCAGTAATAACCCTACGTGCGTGCCGTACGCCGAAGCGTGTTACTCGTATTCGGGCGTACAAACGCGAGAGAAGTGGTACAATTTCGGTCCGTGAAAGATGTTACCCGACAGAAACATGCCAGTCAAAATTTCAGTTCGATAGGTTGTTTTTCATTTGTTAAAGAACACGTATACTCTGCGAGCAAATGTATTCGAAGAATTGGCGTGTTAAGAAAAAGGCAGACTGTACGCGACCCGCCGTACCTGACAGTCCACGCGGCCCGGCCCCAAAACACTTTCGCCTTGCTATATACACGAGAAATCGCATCGTGTTTCATTCACAACGCGAGCGCCACTGGCAATGTCGGGAAGTGACAGCCCAACATTCTTTCACGGCCAGCCCTGGTCCAGCTGGATCGAAAGAATCGGACGAGACAAGCCGTTGAGTAAGTGCGCTGAATCTCATCGAAATGTTCGTTCGTTTGCTGTCGCTGCTTTAAAACCGCGACAATGACGAGCGTCTAGCTCGTGTACCTAACCTCAACTTCGATGCTCCTTTGTCCGTCGACTTGACGCAGGGCATCATTAGGGCCCATCGCACGCATTTATTTAAAACGGTTGTCAACAATTGTCCAGCGCGCATCACGGTTGACATTTTCTCGCAACATCGCGCACATTTTATCGGCCTTTTCCACTGACAATTATGTAATTCATAGCGAAACCGACTGTGAAATACGGAGCGTCGAAACGTTAGCTTTAGAGCAATAGTATATTCGCATGGGTCACTGAATTTTGCGAAACGATCTCGACCGAACCGCGCTGTTCGATAGGCCTTGCTCGAACATTATATGTACACTTGTATTTTTATATTTGTGCCCTGTCTCTCTTATAAGATTTTTTGTTGAAAGAATTATGCATGTACGAAATGTAAACATAATAAAAGTTGTTTATCCAGAAGTTTGTGTTTTTTATTTCACATTTCTGCTTGGAAATTGATGGTTATGAATGAAAAAATATCTTTTAAGGACAAGATTCAATAGACATGAAGCTAACAGTATCTTATAATCAGCTGTAATCTTATCATGATAATTGCAATTGTAATATAATGAAGTTGAATTTTATATTTAAGTATAAGATAAATAGGAATAGAATTTTTACATTTTCTTCATTAACTTTCAGAATATACGTTACTCGTACATTTTATACATGATATATTAGTAAATGGTTTGCTATTGAAATGTCCTTGTAGTAAGCGTTGATGATTTTATCATATGTTCCATAAGAGAATTTGGTTTGTTTCAGGCGATGAAGAAACAGATGCTCAACTTTCTAGCTCAGTTACACGGCTTGCATCAGAAGGTACATATTTTATATTTATATTCTATAATATTTTCACTTAACGTAAGAAATACAATATTAACTTTGAAACCTCGTATCCTGATTTTATCTAACGCAACAATTTTTGTTTCAGATATTGATTTATATGGATTTTGTCCCGAAAGAGATACTTTTTACACGGTAGTGTGCGAAACCTGCCATGCTATAGTTAAACCACAGGCTCTCATTCAACATATGGGTATGTTATTTTACAATTTTATACTTTCTGTTCGTATTATGCTGTTATATACATTAAATAAACCTACGCTGTTTATTTTTAAGACATACTTTTAATTGTAAACATGTAAGAAACATGAGTATCTACTAGATAATTTATTTTTTCCATATATAATATTCAAATATGATTTGTCTCACGAGTCATCAAAGAAATAAAAGAACAAAGTAAATAGAATTAATTGAACTAGAGCTAGGTAAACTATAGTCAAGTGAAAATATATATTTTGTATTTCTATTCTTTAACTTAGGACTGATCATTTACATTGTATAAACACTATTGATATTTTGCTACAGAAAGTCGCCATCCTTCGGGCACGGTTAATTTTCCACCTCCTTCCACTCCGATAGTAAAAACTCCTCTGAAGACGCCTTATTGCAAGGTATCGAAATTGAAAAAGACGCAGTCGTCACCGCAGATTTCAAGTAGTGGGAGTAACAAGATTAACCATACAAACGTGAAAAGGAGTACAGAGCAGCCAAATATCTCAACGAGTTTACCGCCTGCGTCAATACCGATCTCTTCATCGCCTCGTTCGCCTCTTGAGTCATTACCGTCGTCTGTTCAGACGTCAAACTCTGCTTCGGGATCTGTGCTCACCTCGAGTCCGGTGAAAAGTCCCGGTACAGCGACAGGGCAACCTCGTCGGAAGAGACTCAAAACTGACCGATCGCTACTGAAGGATCGAGAATACGACCCAGATCGACATTGTGGAGTGTGGATCGAGGAGACCGGGAAACCTTGCACAAGGTCGCTCACATGCAAAGCGCACACGGTCTCGTTACGCCGGACGGTGATCGGTCGAAGTAAAACTTTTGACAAACTTCTCGCGGAGCATCGTGCCTCGAAAGAGGTTCCAAACAGGCCGACGAAAGTCACCGTAACCGGTACAGTGACCGTATCCTCTGCAACCTCGAGTCTAAACCCATTAACACCCACCACCCCCGCCTTGACCATCGAAACGGAAGCGCCCAGCTCGCCTCCCGTTCTATCGCTGCCAGACACGTACCCACTGCCAAAGGTAAGGAGCTACCGTATCGATATTCTCTTTGTTTTTTTATTCTTCGATTTTCCTTCTGTGGTATATCCTTGGTAAGAGTGTACGGTCCTGTATGATCCTTCGTATTGCGTTATCCTGTTGTTGTGTTATTATCACTATGTTTTCTTTTTTTCTTTTTTTTAATATACATATATGAGTTAGTACCGCTGTATTTTTCATGATATCTTGTAGATGGTTTTTGGGAGAGGATTACTGAGTGAGAAATTTCATGTAATTTCTTTGGGTTGGTTGACTGGAAATGAAAGTTGTTTTGTCAAGTTGGAGTAAAATTAATTCTGCTGCTGGTATTCGTATTTCCATTTGGGATTCGTATTTCCATTGTTGATATTTTGTTGTTCAAGATACAGTATTGTCAGGAGTATCGTTTATTCCGTATTGTTAAAAAATCTCAGATTTTGAAGAAAATTTGCTCCAGTTAGTAAACAATCCATTCTTTCTATTTTCGTGATACGATGTACTCTCACGATTTAATTTTTGTGAATATGCATGATCCGGTAATATCACTATCTAAGGTGATATTTACATACCGAAACTTTCATTTCTCGGTGCCCTCTGGTAAAATACGGTGAAGTTCAGCGTGTAGTGGAGTAATTTGCATCTTTTTTTACTTTGTTCAGATTCATTTCCAACTTCTTTTATCTCAAATACATTTATTCATTCTTTTTTGTCTCCAATTTTATCTGTGAAGCAGAATTCGTGGCGGAAAGATATTTATTATGTAATTCTTAGATCGGCTTAATCATTACATATATATGTTAGCAGTGAGAATTTTTAGAGTAGTTGCGAGTTTGCAACAGCTTTGGATGCTTAAATTAAAGGACGGGCCTACGAATTAAAGTCCCAGTGCGTAAATTTCAAATCATTTTCGCGCAGTCGAACGTAAATGTTTCTATTGGTATAAAATTCCGTAGCGTCTTTAAGAAATGTACGAATCTCCCTAGGCCCGTGACCACCGATCATCTATGGCGATCTGTTAAACGTTGCTTTAAATACATGCTGGTCGTGCGATATATCGAATCGATCGCTTGGAAGTAGCTCGAATAGAGAGTAGATTCAAAAGAACAGCAGATGACACGATAATCTGGATTCCCATGGAGAAAAATTCAGTTGTACCATCAAGTTCGAGAAGGCATTAGGCGTCAGGTATCAATCGATACTCGAAGATTTTTCGCTTTCGTATATCTCTTAAGACGCACTAGACGGAACATAGCGAGGCCGAGAGAAAGAAAGGGGTTTAAGAAAAGAAAAGAAGCAAAGAAAAAGAATTAGTAATGTAGCTGACAAACATGGATCGATCGACGACCCAGTCGAGTCAGCTGCGACAGTAGCAAGCAGGGTGTCGGTTGATACCTGTTTTCTGTTTTTGTTATTGCAGGCTGTTGATTTGCTTTATCGGTGTCTGGCCCCGCATGGCTCCACTAAACCTGTAAGGCATGGTTTCTTTTGGGCACTTAAACGCCAACACCTCGTATGGGCCCTACGATTCTTATTGCGAGTCGCCAACGCTTCTCTTTTTTAGACCAAGCTCGAAGAGGACTTCGCCAACGAGGAACTGAGGAGCCTGGAGTCGTCGCTAGTGAATTCGACCGGTTCGTCACAGTCGAGTTCGATGATGGCGCCGATATCCGTGGTGTTGCCGTCGCTATCACCGTTGCCGGCGAATAACGAGGATTCGTCGTCGGTCAGCACGTTGCTACCGAACACAGCATCTCCAGGTATACCGGTACCAGCAGCACTGCCAGCCACGTGTACGCAGTCGTCGTTAGTCACGACGGTCCTCGAGGCTGAGACATCGATGGACATCGATCCGGAAGCAGCAATGACCATCTATTCTCCCGTTTACAAGGATAAGTCGAAGTTGCTGGTGGAGCTACCACGCACGAACAATATCGCCCATTCTCCTATATCGTCTATGCCCAGCCTGCTATTCGAACCGATGGATCAGCTCGAGCAGCTGGAACAGTTGGAACAGCAACACGCGACACAGATCAATGGAAAGAGACTGAATCACGCGACTCGTTCGAGTCCCGTTACGCAACGACAGTCGAAAAGGACCAAACACGAGTATCATCAGCAGGACTTGTCCACGGCGATACAGGTTGAAGCTACGACCACGTCCTCGCCTTATCCTCATTTCGGGGACATATCTTGGTCGAACTGTCACCCGGAGCCACTGGCTGTTAGCCGGTGGCTTCGTATTTCGTCCAGCCGTAAGCAGTACAACTTTAATATTCACTGACATAAGACCCCACCCACTCCAGGCTGAGGACCGTGCGCCATGGGCGTTTGTCTACCTCCTCTTTTTTTCGAGATCCTTTTTTTCATGGTCGTCCTCGTTGCCGTCGTTGATGGTCTAGGTCTGAAGCCTGTCGAGAAGGGGACAAGTCTTGATGTGCGGTGAACTCGATGTGATGAGCATGCGCACGGTGGAAAGGAACACGTGAGCAATGTCGTACGTGAAATTGAGCTGATGACGATGTTTGCATGCTTATTCTGTCTGCCGAAACGAAAATCTCGAGCAAGAACACGATAACGACAACAACGGTTCTTTTTTTTGTACCACATGTCGTCTCTATTCTGTCAGGCGATGATCGTTTCCCTTGAAACTACACCACCATCACCACCACACCATCACCATCACCATCACCATCACCATCACCATCACCATCACCATCACCATCACCATCACCACCACCATCACCATCAGAGGTTCGTAGGCAGGCTAATCGCATTATTGGATCGCTCACTTTAGGGGATATACGCGTAGAACTGGAAAAAGCGGGGTTTCACCAACGGAAACAGAAGCACGTTCCAGATTACGTTTTCATTTTTCTCCTTCGTATTTATTTCGCAAAACTTTTTTACAATAGCATACCGATTAAGAAAGAACATAATATCACGAGTGCGATTCTTTGAATTCACGATATCGCCGACGAACATTCCTGGAATATTATCGTTATTCTCCTTGAACTGTTCTTTCAAGAGGCCAGTGGTGAAAAAAATATGGCCTCTCGTATCTCGCAACGATGCTTCTGTTCCGATATTATATTTTTCACGAAAGAGCCGGGTACGGATCACCGAGTGATACAACCAATAGCAAACGCTAGCCCCATTTTCAAGTATTATATTGGCAGTAGGTAGGTATTAGGACATCGACTGAGATATACATAATTGCTTTTTCCACGAAGTGAATTTTTTTACCGAAAATCGTTGCAAGTCTCTCTCGGTGCAGATCGGTATCATAGGATTAGACACTGGTTGCTGCGTTTCAGCGCGATTCGTTGGAGTAAAGGAGGGGAGGAAAGGGAAGAGAAAGAAAAAATAAGAGAGAAGAGAGAAAGGAAAGAAAGTGAAAACGGGGGGATAAAACGAACGCGATCGATACGAGTCGAAGAAGAGAGAAGCGACGATAATAAGTGAAATGAAACGACATCGAATTTTAGACATTTATCCCGTGTGTATGCGTGCTTGCGGAAAGGATAAAGGATCACGTGACCAGCCGAGAAACCGAAATTTTCCGTTGTACAGGACGTTTAACGACGTTTTAGTAGAAAAAGTAGCTAAAGGATGATATTAGTGTTTGTTTGTTGTATTTTTTTCTTTTTTTTTTTTCTTTTTTTTCTTTTCGGAGACGCCGCTGAGTGACACGCATTTTTGTGCGGGACGTGAGAAACACCAGCCAGGAATTTTTTGTAAATACATACCGATTTACCAGAGAATCATAACGACGTTGTCCTCTTGTAAATACGTTTAATAAGAATGTAAATGTAGTTAGTCGTGACACGGAGCGGCCGATCATCGAACTGTCTTGCGCGTAGAAACTTCGACTTATTTTCCAATTAAATTCGGTCCGCGTACAGAGGGTCTCATCTTGTACATACATAGATCATAGTATACATATACATATATATATATTTTTTTTATCGATCACGATCTCTTCAACGTTTTTACGTATATACATATATACATAACCTACGACCTCAGCACGTACCGTCGTCGATGTTTCATCTACATTTTCTATGTATTTTGTCCTCGTTTTACTTTCTTTTCCATTTTTTTTTTTTTTATCGTTCTTTCCCTTCTTTCTTTTTCTCTTTCTTTTTTTATTCTTTTATTTTTTTTTTCTTTTATGGTTTCCCTTCGCTTCTTTGTTCCATTATACGCGTGTGTACAATCGTGTACGTCCTACGTTGCGTATCCGTGTAACGCGTTTCAGCGATTCGTTGAATGCCACGATTTCTATAGTTTCGCTTCAGGAGAATCGAGAAACTCGAATTCTGCTCGTGTGTTCTGTTCAAATCGGTGGGTAAGTTTCGCCGGATCGTAGCAACGACAGTAGCGCACCTAGCGGGAGTCTCGTTTAGGCAATTAGCTTCCCGCGTTAGCCACGCGGGGAGTTTGACGGGGGAAATTCGATGAATTTTTGAGTAGAGTCGCGACGGTGGAGTTTAGTAAGCCGTACACATTGTCCCGAGTATAGTAGGTATCATTCACCATCACCATTACCCAACCCGAGACAATTTATTTTTGTAAAACTGTGTCGGTTCTAATTTACGTCGTGGCGCTGTGACAGTTTTTCCAGCATGGCGCGACAGGTGGCATATATCTATGCGTATATTTACGGACTTCTTATCATAGATTGTGATATTTAACTAATTAACGATTAGTCAAGGTTATTCTAAATCGTGTGTATGCGTTAGCGAAAGAAAGAGAAGCAGACGATAGGCGGCCAAAGTAGAAACGGAGCAGAGGGTAAATAGGGACGGGGATCCAGCGATGATCGATCTCGATCGCTCGACTTTGATCACCGTCGAGCGAGGGAGGATTATTAGGAAACGAAAGCGAAACGTTGGCCCGTTTTAGTAAAATAAATTCGCTCTGTGCACCGTGTTCGCGGCGTTCAGAGGTTATGTTCGAGCTGAGTTTCCGCTTTGCCGCGCGTGTGCGTCGATTCGTAAATTATTTCGTTCCGTTGACGAGCGTGAGTTAGAAAGAAAGGTCGTGATAGCAGGGGAAAGGGGGGGGGGAGAATTGGGAATAAGACAGAACGAAAGGGAAAATGAGAGTAAATTAGAGAGAAAATTAGCGTAAGGAATGGGGAGAAAGGACGCGGATGTGCGTCACGTCGAGCCGACGAAGGGACGTTGATTTTTCGTTACCGCGCAGTATAAATAATAATGCTAGAGCGACGGTATTATTGTCGCTGTTACTCGAGGACAGGAACACGCGAAGTCATGTCGGTCCGCCATTGTTCCTGGGAATAAATCGAACTTGGACGACGATCGATCGACGGATGCTCGGTTGTGTGCAAGGTACACCGCGTTCTCTCATCCACCGTATAAACGACTACATCGCCTTACGATTATAGCCATAAATTTCGCCTTAAGGATTCATTAGCGACCATAGTAGCGACTAGCGTGAGTTTCTCGTAAAAAAATAAGTCCTCGAGCGTGATCCATCGATCGAGCATCGGATAGTTGCGAGACGAGGTAGAACGAGACGGGTAGAGAATCCGAAGGTACTGAAAAAGGGAGAAAAGAGGGTCGAAGAGGGGGGAGAAAAAGAAACTGGTAGCAATAAATTATCGTTCGATGCGAGAGATAGAGAGAGAGGAGAAAAAGAGGAAACTCGTTAACGGACCGACATGACCGTATCGTTTCTGATCGTCGATTACTGATCTTCTCGGCTACCTGAAACCGTGATAATTTGTACATAAATCGCGTAAGCAATTACCCACGTACCTATGGTATCGATGAAATCTATATAGGTATATATTATATATATACATATATGAATCTATATATAAAAATAATTCTATTGAGAAGTTGAAGAAGAGAGTATAGCGAAATTGCAGGCGTCGAATGCTGTTAGCCGCTCGTTTCCGAGTGTACCTTAAACGCTGTATATTCGAGAAGAACCTTACATAGGCCGTATATTTAACGATACACGTGTACCTATAGCGCGTGAATATCTCCTGTACATAACAAGTGCCCTGTGCATGCTTGTGGCGCACGAAATGCTGCGTGCATGCGCGAAATATGTATGATCTTTTTTAGACTATTACTACTACTACTACCAACTACGTACCACACGTTAGTGTTCATCGATCGATGTTATTTCGCGCGAGCTTCGAGCAAGTTTCGAGCGGTCCGTGGTTGTACATACCGACTCGAGCAAACGGCAACAAAACGATAATTAACGATTAACGAATTTGGCATCCCTTAAACGCTGTACGTCGAACGGATCAGAGAGAGAGAGAGAGAAAGAGAGAGCGAGGAGAGAAAGAGAAAGAGAGAGAAAAGAAGAAAGAAACGGAAAGGGAGAAAGAGAAACGCTGTTACCATCGCAGTCGATCGATAGGTAGCCGCGATCCGGAATTGACGATCACGATCGTTCGAAATCGTGATTCGTGGTCGTAGAATGCTTAAAACGGCAGAGAAGAGAACTCGCAAAGCAATAATACGTAGTCCAGGATTAAGGGAATACACAGCAATAATACCGACTCCATTATTACCGTAAAGTAAACGTTAAGGGACGCGTTGTGCACGTTCAGGAGGGACGCTTCCGGTCTCCACTCGGGTCCGGCGAGTTTTAACACGAGTTCGGGGTTAGAAAACGAAGGAATTTCTATCGGTTGTTGAGCTCTCTGTCGCCTGACTTCTCGTTCGCGGTTTGCAAATATCAAGGAGAGAAAATTCGTAAGGGAAGAAAGATCGTTTCCGGTTCGACGAGTTCGTTCTTTTGTTACCTTTTTCTTCTTTTCTTTCTTTCCTTCTCCTTCCACGGTATAGTTCAAGTTATCTTTCCCTGTTCTTACCTTTTTTTCCGTCGGATAGAACTGTGAGCTCGAAACACGCGCCAGTATTTTCGTTTCTCTCGTCGAGTTCCCGATACTAATTTAACGAACCCGCGCGAATATGTAGTGCACCAGACATTTCGTGGCTCGCATAAGACTGAGTACGCTTAAAACGAGGATGAAGAGAGTTTGTACGTTTGCGACGTGTTGGAAGATCGAGCGGTCTGTCGAGGAATGGAAAAGAAAATGGAAGGAGGAGAGAGGAAAGATAGTTTCTCGTCGGCTTAGGATATCGCTGCGGAGTTTCCTCTTTTATTTTAAACTTTAGGAGAAGAGAATATATATATAGAGAGAGATAGAGTGCGAGAGTGAGAGAATGGGAAAGAGAGAAAGAGTTATCGAGTCGACTCGAGCCGTTTCGCATGAATTGTCCGCTTCCGGTTCCGAATCGCGCGGCCCGCGTACGAAGCGTCAGAATTCTGCTTTCTTCC